AATAATCGTATCAGTGAATAGATGATGTGCTGTTTTCGTTCAGCATTATCTTGTGTATCATAATGATTAGTTATTTTCTTATTATAGTATTCGATAATTTCAGCCGTACTTTGTATTGCAACAGCATAAATTTTGCGACAAGTTGGGGAATTTTCTAGGAAATATAATGGCGTTATGTAACTAAAACATATATATATTATTTAAAAAAGGTATTTTTTAATAATGTGAGTGTGTTTGTGTTCGTGGTTCGTGGCAACGAAAAGCCCGCCAAAATATGTGGATGTTCGGGGCGCCGAAAAGCCCGCCAAAACACGCCGTTGCGTGATTGGCTGCCCGCGAGTGGAACGAGATTCCGGCGCGGTGATTGGCTCCCAGAGGTGAGTGCCGGGCTGTGCGAAAAGAGATCTTGGAGAGCGAGGACGGTCCTTGACTCAAGCTGCGGTCTCGATTGTGCTGCTCTCTCTAAGGAGGACCCAGAATAAGGTAATAAAGCTGTGCTGGCGAGAGTGATTTGTTCCTGCAAATAAACTTTGTGACCCGCAAATAAACCGTGGATTGCTACCTGTTTGTCCTTCACCCCGCCAACCTCATTTAGTGCCCTGAGTGCGAATACACTCGTCAAAGGTTGCTCACCGAACCCCGTGGGGCAGGCAGTTTAAGAAGTGCAGCATCCTGCCATACAGGGTGGGTTGTGTGAGGCACTTACACTTGTGAATCTGTCTGTGTGTGTCATTGGGCGCCAGAAGGAGAGGGTTACTTAACGATATATGTATGTATATATATATAATATATATATATATATATATATATATATATATATATATAATATTATATATGTGTGTGTGTGTGTGTGTGTGTGTGTGTGTGTGTGTGTGTACTTTTTTTGTTACTTGCCAATCCTTCTGATTTTTTTTCTTAATATTCCCAATCGTCTTGTAAGAGCTAAAACGATTTTTAAAGTGATCTATGTTGCGAATATAGTCTTTGACCATTCGCTTTATAGATACACTCCTTAAACTTTATAATAACAATTGATTTGTTGGGAGAGCGGGAGCGCAACCTTAGAAATCATGCTAGTGGCCGAAGGAGTAAACTGTATTCAGTATAAAGCTACTTCGAAAATATTTAGTAGAATATTCATACTGTGAGTTTATTTGATGAATTTTAAGTTATAGTTACAATGTGGACGAGAATATAAATTCTGTATCTACAGATTTGAAGTAGCGCTTCATTGGATTTTACCCAACACTTCAGAGAGGCGTTCAGGGTTTCAGCAACGTATTGTAGCATTTTACATTATCGTATAAATTCTTCCCATAAAAGCCTTAAAATCAGACTGAAATTCATTACTAGAGACCTCACATCATGTCTTTTGTGCTTATTTCCCCACCAGAGAAGTTTAGCCGTGCTCATATTTTACAACAGAAATACGTTATATATATTTCTAGATCATTCTGTATCCAGAGATCAAGGGAATAAACCACTGACATGGAGATTTTTTTTCCTCTTTGATATAGCCATTGGAAATATCCGAAAACTTTTCTTTTCGAACACAGTGCTTTAATTCATATCTTCAATTCTGTATATTGTCAATAGCATTGTGTATATAAAGATTTAACATGTAATGTGGCTTTAATACCAATGAATATTATGAATTTCAATGGAAATCTTGTAAAGTGAATCAAGTTAAATAAAGCCAATGAGTTTGTTTTTTTTACTGAAATCGGAGGATGCGTGTAAATGGCATTACCAGGGAAAGACCTCTCTTTTCCATAGTGAGAATAAAAGCTGATATAATTTTGCAAAAACACCGCAATAGTAGCTCAAAAAATAAGTGCTGACCGATTTATGTACTCTATGAGAGAGATGAGGGGGAGGGAAAGTGAAAGAGAAAGAGAGGGGAGGTGAAGGAAGAAAGAGAAAGAGATCATAGAGAGGGCGGGGGAGATGTAAGGAGATGGAAAGTGGTAGAGAGAGAGAGAGAAAGGGGGAGAAGGGAAGGAGAGAAAGAGAAAGAGGTAATAGAGAGAGGGGGAGATGTGAGGGGGTAGGGAAAGAAATTGAGAGGGAGGGTGAGAAAGAGAGACAGAAAGAGGTGACAAGAGAGAGAATGTGAAAGAGAACCAAAATGAGAGAAAGAGAGAGGGAGGGAGAAGAAAGAGTTTCCGAACAAGCCTTGAGCAATCATTTATGCCGTTATGGTACTGTTGACACTTAGGCGTACTGTGTGGAATGAGGTGTTAGATAGTTTATCCCTAGTTCGCCTTATGCCTGGCAGTGCATTCAGCAGCCAATCAGCGTTTATGACGAACTATGACGTCATCAGCCAAACTCAAGCAAGCAAGAAATTAAAGAAAAGACCTGTTGCCGGAGGGGGGTTGGGGATAAGGTGGGGATAGAAAAGATGATTTAGTAAGATTGATTTGATTTGAAAAAATATATATATTTACAGAGCAGTTTACATGCCCTGTAAAAAGCCAGGGAAAGAAGTCCAAGCATCTACCCAATCGGGCTGAACTTTTATTGACGTAAGGGCCAAAATCAAACCTTAAATATACATGCCCAAAGGGCTGCACCTTAGTGCTTGCCTTATTGGTTAACTATCTAATAACTGAAAAAACATGATTTTACAAAAATTAACCGTTTCCATAAATCTTAATGTTATACTCTGGTACACTCAAAGTCACTGTGGGCCATCAGTTGTCAGCTGATGATTTTCAAATTCTGCTACAGGTTGTAGAAGGGTGAACCGTCGTCCAAAGATCACTGAAAACATTTTTTTCCTGGACCTGTAGTTGCTTTGCAAATTGTTGCTGCATTATGAGCATCATTTGTTCTATCTGCATCAACATTTGCAGTAGGTCCTGTCTCTCCTGTGGTGTGGGGGGTCGGCGCTGGCAATGAAGTAGGTGTACAAGCTGGAACTGCTGTATGTGCTGAAACATGTGTTGCAGATGTCGAAAGCGATGTCGATCTCGAAGCAGGTTCTGAAGTTGATGCCGAAGTAGCCGAAGGAGCAGATACTGGCACTGAAAGGACTGAAGAAAACCTTGAGGCTGGCGCTGGAGCAGGAGCTGATGCCGATGGTAAGGCTGGAGAGACCGACTGTTCTTTCAGCATACCTCGCCACATTTATCCTCCCAAGCTGGGGGAATTCTGTCTCATCGTTAAGGCGAGGAAATGAGAAGGCAGTGCAGTCTGTTGCTTCTTTAGTAATTTATTTTTTCTGTTGTTTGGATAATATGCACATAATGGAGAGTTTGCATTATGTTCAGGTCTACAATTGACACATATCCTTGGAAGTTGATTACCCAGTGCGATTTTTTCGGCGCACTCCCTGCTCATATGAGCAGGCGCGCAATACTCGCAACGCGGCTGTTCGCGGGAACAAGCACGTGCGCCATGCCCCCATCTGGAACAGTTGGCGCAAAATGGGGTGAGTGATTTGAAGACAGCATACCTGAAAGTTGCCATGCCCTCCACAATTTTGAAGGTTTTGGGTTTTTTCTCCCCTTCATGTGTAATGATGAGTCGCTGTTTCATCCTATCATTAAATTTAATGCGCTTAGGGTGTAGAATCTTTTCATTGTATTCTGTGATCTCATTGGTGTCACTTTCCCTCGGGACATCGAACACAACGAGGTTAGTACAGTGTCCTCTGCCAAAAGCTCTGCTTATTTCGAGGATTTCTCCTGCCGTAGGTCGTAGTTATACGGGTAAGAATTTCTTCATTCTTGCACCGTACATAGATATTATTTCTTCCTAGTTTTAATTCTAGGGCTCCTTTAGTCTTGTTAAATGGGGCCATCTTCAGCACTTAGGACACCCAACGGTATTTGTCCCCATGTGTCGCTAGCTTTGTGTCCCTCTTGAAATATGCACATAGATGGATGGGGGATACAAGTTCTGCAGACTCATTACTTAACTGTCTTTTTGCCTTTTCCTTTGTTTGTTCGTTTTCAGTATTTTGTCACTTGCCGAGATGTCCATCTCCGTTAACACAGAGAAACGGGCCTGAGACGTCTTTGTATACACAGGTGTCCTGAGTTCAGATCATTCGCTGAAATGTCGTTAGTAAGAGAGAAAGAGCTGGGGCATTGGACTTCTGTATCTACAAAAGACTGCTTAAGTTTGTATATGTGACCACAGCATATAACAAAGTGGTAGTGAATATAATTATCTTTTCATCGTAAAAACATTTATCTGTTTTTTTCTATTATAACATTACATAAAACGTACACTTTTTCAGTTAGGATTTATTTGATTATGACTTTTTTGCGTGAAAAAAGTTTGAATACCCGGCTAGCGACACCTGGCATCTATAGCTTCTTTTGGTATACAGATCGTAAAATCGGACGCAAAAAATTCTTAATTAGAAGAAATCTAAAAACATTTCAGAATATATTCAGACCTTTATTCTAAGCACATATCTGTTGCCAATGTTCATATTCAAACGAGATTAATTAGCTTTTACAGACTTTCATTTGGTAATGTGACCAGAGTGTGTATAATTATGTCGTTAAGTCTAGGTATCTAAAGTTTTAACCAAAACATCCTATCATGAATCCACATTTTGGCACTTTTCTTCCGACCAAAGACACCAGATAACGTTACTGCAATCTCTGAAATGAAACACGGAGAAGGCGTATGATTAGCTATGTGTCATATAATTGAAAATGAGGTTCTTGACTTGTGAATCCTAACTTAACGTATTTTTCCTCCCTGTTGTTAGTCCTGGGTGCACCAAATTATCTCTGTGACCATGTTAGAAAACCACCACTAGCAAGCACACATGCGAACGAAATATCAGCACAAAACCATAATTCATTAAGCGTTTTTTATTTTTTTTATTTTTCATTTATTTATTTTTTTTAACAAGAGATAACAGGTATCAGTTCTTACGTCTTATTCCTGACCGAACAGTCGAAGTCCACGCAGGCCGGGATGCTTGAGCTGTCATCAGTTGCTCGAGCAGTTATCAGATAGCGGGGTTTACACGCAGGGAGAGGATATCTGGAGATGTTTCGGGAGAGATTGAACGTTAGAGAGATGATACCATATATATATATATATATATATATATATATATATATATATATATATATATATATATATATAGGTGTATAATAATGGTACTCCTAGTCGAGTGTCTCTTTCAATGGTACCCCTTTATTGGCCTTCCCTATATTACACCTTTATCTGCCTATGGTACCCTTAATCTGTCTTCTTTATGGTACCCCTTAATATGCCTTCCTTATGGTACCCCTTTATCTGTCTTCCCTATGGTACGCCTTTATCTGTCTTCCTTATGGTACCCCTTAATCTGTCTTCCTTATGGTACCCTTTTATCTGTCTTCCTTGTGGTTCCCCTTTATCTGTCTTCCCTATGGTACCCCTTTATCTGTCTTCCCTATGGTACCCTTTTATCTGTCTTCCTTGTGGTTCCCTTTATCTGTCTTCCCTATGGTATATTACCCTTTTACCCTTTATCTGTCTTCCCTATGGTACCCTTTTATCTGTCTTCCCTATGGTACCCTTTTATCTGTCTTCCCTATGGTACCCTTTTATCTGTCTTCCCTATGGTACCCTTTTATCTGTCTTCCTTATGGTACCCCTTTATTTGTCTTCCCTATGGTACCCTTTTATCTGTCTTCCTTATGGTACCCCTTTATCTGTCTTTCCTATGGTACCCCTTTATCTGTCTTCTCTCTGGTTCCCCTTTATCTGTCTTCCCTATGGTACCCCTTTATCTGTCTTCCCTATGGTACCCTTTTATCTGTCTTGCTTGTGGTTCCCCTTTATCTGTTCCCTATGGTACCCTTTATCTTCTTCCCTATGGTACCCCTTTATCTGTCTTCCCTATGGTACCCTTTATCTGTTTTCCCTATGGTTACCCCTTTATCTGTCTTCCCTATGGTACCCCTTTATCTGTCTTCCCTATGGTACCCCTTTATCTGTCTTCCCTATGGTACCCCTTTATCTGTCTTCCCTATGGTACCCCTTTATCTGTTTTCCCTACCCCTTTATCTGTCTTCCCTATGGTACCCTTTATCTGTCTTCCCTATGGTACCCCTTTATCTGTCTTCCCTATGGTACCCCTTTATCTGTCTTCCCTATGGTACCCCTTTATCTGTTTTCCCTATGGTTCCCCTTTATCTGTCTTCCCTATGGTACCCCTTTATCTGTTTTCCCTATGGTACCCCTTTATCTGTTTTCCCTATGGTACCCCTTTATCTGTTTCCCTATGTACCCCTTTATCTGTTTTCCCTATGGTACCCCTGTATCTGTTTTCCCTATGGTACCCTTTTATCTGTCTTCCCTATGGTACCCTTTATCTGTTCCCTATGTACCCCTTTATCTGTCTTCCCTATGGTACCCCTTTATCTGTCCCTATGGTACCCCTTTATCTTCTTCCCTATGGTACCCCTTTATCTGTTTTCCCTATGGTTCCCCTTTATCTGTCTTCCCTATGGTACCCCTTATCTGTTTTCCCTATGGTACCCCTTTATCTGTTTTCCCTATGTCTTCCCTATGGTACCCCTTTATCTGTTTTCCCTATGGTACCCCTGTATCTGTTTTCCCTATGGTACCCTTTTATCTGTCTTCCCTATGGTACCCCTTTATCTGTCTACCCTATGGTACCCCCTTCTGCCCTTCCAGTGGTGACTTCGCAGTTCATCCTAAAATGTAGCTTCCTCGCCCCTTTTAGCAGTGCCACTTAGCCCATCCACCAGTGCCCCAGCAGCCCTTCTACTGGAGTCCTAGGCACTTCCGAATATGCCCGTTCGACATGCCCCAACGATCAGATTAGTCACGAATGATACAGAAAATGCTCTTCTCATTTCTCAATTTTAACTTTCATCTAGTAACAATTAGTTTTATTGTAATGTATTAGTCAAATGTATGTAGTTCTCTGTGTTCAATGGCGCAATCAAAGAGCAGATTGGAACACACGCAGCTACATATACTTGACTAATAGATTATAAGGAAATTCATAAAACAAAACATCAACAAAAGCTGCCGGTCCTTAGGTGTCCAATAAAGCCCCTTCTTTGGTTTATTTGGTGCTCTTAATAACTGCCTATGTCGCTTAGTAATAACTTAGAGCTGGTGTGGTGCTTAGGGATTTCGAGTGGCGTAGTTGGGGATAGTTAGAATTAGGGAACAACTGTGTGTGTATAATACTACACCTACCCCCTCCCCTCTCACTTTCCTGCCCTCCCCTCTTTCTCCCTTCCCTTCCCCCTCTCCTCTCACTCTCCTTCCCTCCCCTCTTTCTTGCTTCTCTTTCCCCTCTCCTTTCATTCTTTTTCCCGCCTCTCTTTCTCCCTTCCCTTCACCCCCCCTCTCCTCTCACTTTCCTGCCCTCCCTTCTTTCTCCCTTCCCTTCCCCCTCCCTTCTCACTCTCTTTTCCTCTCCCCTCCCTTCTCGCTCTCCTTCCCCCTCCTGTCTTTCTCCCATCCCTTCCCTTCTCGCTCTCCTTCCCTCCCCCCTTTCTC